TAATGTAATGTTCAGTTTTCAAGCAATCAATGATCAAGTTTATTTCAATGCATTTCAATTTCGTGTTGTAAGTTTTCTTTAAATTGTGATCAAATTCACTTTCGTCCCGGAACGATCGAGAAATGGCTGAAGGTAGTCTAAAGGAGCAGACTACTGCCGCACGATGTCCCTTTCTATACTAAGAAGAAAGTTAAACTGTGAAACCTGGGTTGTATTCTAAAATTTGTGGGCCGACTCAGAACTCATAGCGGGCCGTTACCGGACTTATATGTTGGCGGGCTGACCCGGTCCGGACCACCCGGATTGACACCTCTACTGCCCATTGTGCCAACTGCTGATTTGCTGGACAAATCTGTTAAAGTCCCGGAAAAGAAAATTATTACTGCTATGAATCCCATGCGATACCAAGGGAAACCAAGATTAGGCACAGTTCTTGAACTCCTGCGTGTAACAGATTATGTTAGCAAAAAATTGAGTGAAGTTAGGCTTCCGTTTATTGTTTTACATGGGAATGCAGACGTGGTTACTGATCCAGATGTGAGCAGGGAATTGTATGAATTGTCTAAGAGTGAGGACAAAACCATCAAGATCTATGATGGAATGTTACATTCTTTGCTGTTTGGGGAGACTGATGAAAATATTGCAATTGTTCGTGGTGACGTATTGAAGTGGTTGAACGATAGATGCTGAAGAAATATTTAATTGAACTAATATTCATTCGTTTTAGATTCATATGTTATATACATATATCTTGATACGCTATTGAGTTCCAACGTTGGTCGAAAATGTTTATGGGACTCACTGTAAATTGACAACTGTGTTTGATAGCCCATCTTGGCCCAGATTTTTCTTTCCATTCTACAGCAAGATGTATACTTTCTCTGGCATATGCTCCATTTTTTACTGTTAAAAGGTTTCATGTTCGAAAACTTCTTACACAAATTGCTTGAAATATAGAACATTAGTAAGATCAAATTGGTTTGAAGTGTGTTGACTTCAAATATTGGCAAGTGTGCTCGAGTTAGCTAGACGCAGCTGTCTTTCATATCTCCAAGTAAAAAGTCTGGGTAATTAGCAGAAATTGTTCCCAACGTTTACACTCTTTGTTAAAACGGTCCCTATCGTTTTAGAATTGGCATTTGTACCCTTATTTCAAACGTTTCTTGTGGAATTGGTCCTTCAATCCATAAACCGTTAAACATCCGTTAGAACCTTTTGATAATTTGCAGAAATGGTCCCTATGGAATATAATTTTGGAACGACCTGCTTCGATGAGTGGTAACTTTCGCTACGGTTGGTTGTTTCGCACGCCGTTAGGGATGTGAGAAACTAGGTCATGAGCACTTCGAAATGGTATTAAAAATGTAATATTTCGACTTCGTTTGACTTCCCGTAATAATCCCGTAAAATGGAGACAAAAAATAAGAAAAATCGTTTAGTTTGATAAACTGTG